TATTTATAAGTACTTATTTTTAATATATAGTTTAGATTTTATATTTTTAAAATAATAAATAATAGAAAGGTTTTAAGAGAAACCTATTAATACTTTAATAGATTCTACTTTCCTTTATTATTAATATTAAATAAGTAAAAGTACGTTTTTATATTTTTTATTAGTATATAACTATAAACTTTTCCTTTATCTTAGATAAGTAACTTATAAAGTAATTATATCTTATTTCCTAGTAGTAGAATATATTATAGGTTATTTAATTTTAGTTATAAAACTAGGAATATTTTAAAGAAAGCTACTTATTATACTCTTAAATATAGCTATATATATATAATTACTTTATATTATTGAACTATTATAATATTCAAAATTATATACTTCCTATCTAATTTTAGGATTCTAGTTTTTATTCTAGAGTTATATCTAGTAGAACTAGTACTAGCTCTAATATTAGTACTAAATTAATTCTAAAATATTAAGAGTTAAATACTATATATAATTCCTCTAATATTATTAAATATTTTATAAATATTATATTAATTCTAGAAAAAAGAAGTAAAAGGTCTCTTTTAGTATCTCTAGTCTTATTTAAGGGGTCTCTTAGTATTGTTTCCTTAAAGTATATTAGTAAAAGAGTATATTTCTAAAATTAAAGTAAGCTAGAAGTTTAAAAGTAACAAAGCCTATCTAGTATATCTAAGAGACTTAAACTAAATTAAAAGAATTTTAGAATATTCCTTATAAATAAAATTTAGGAAAAATTTAAGTCTTAAACTATACTTTGTAAATAATATAATATAAGCTCTTATAATTAGTTCTTATGACTATATAAGCTTCTAAGAAAAAATAAAAGTAAAGGAAGTTTAACTATAGTTTAGATATAATATAGTAAAATTAAAGCCTATAGAGGGCTTAACTTTAAGCTAACTATCTAATATTTTAAAATATAAATAGAAGTTTCATTTACTAACTATAGGAACTATAGTTTAAGTAAGATATACTTATATATGAGTATAACTAATAGTAATAGGGACAACTCTCTATTTTCTTATATCTAGAAGGTACTATAATAGCAAAGCTAAATCTTTAAAGCATTTTAAAAAGTAGGCTTATAAATATAGTCGAATACATCCTAAATATCTAGGAATAGTATAAAGTCTTTTTAGTTTGGCTTCTATTTTAGATATAATAATAAATTAAAAATACTATACTAATAGACTGTTTCTTAACTTAACTTTTTATTTAGGTAGAATAGGAAAAAGTATCTAATATAGTAAAGTACTTAATTCTAGGGAGCTAATGTTATTCTATTAATTTTTCTACTTCGAATATTTACGTCTCTTTTTAGACTTTCCTTTAGAAGTAAAGACAGAGCTTAAGAGAGACGTACCTCTAAGGCTAGAGAGGCTATATATAATAGTTAAGAATACAAAATCTCTACTAATTTTAAATATCAACCCTTAAAGAAACAAGTCGATATATATCGTACTATACTCTCGTATCTTTAGATTCTTTTAGATTTACTAATAAGATTTTAGGTTAATATCTTAGTATATAGATATATTCTAAAAGTAAACTATCTCTAGGGATGTAGAGGTATAAATTATACCTCTAAATTACTAGGGAATAAGGATAGGTAGAATAGTAGTTTAGTCTAAAGTTTTACATAACCTAAGGGGTTTAGAATTCTATTAGGTAATATTATAACAAGTTGCTATAGGATTTTATAGATACGATTTAATAACTAGGGGCGGGACTTAATATAGATTTTATTTTCTCTATAGTAAGTAAGAGGAGAGCTTATCTATATAAACCTTCCCTTTAAAATAAGTATAAGCTCTTAACTCTCTTCGTTCCTTTATTAGCTTATTTATTTAACTATTTATTTTCTTTTTATCCTAGAGAGGGAATTAGACTATATAGGGCGTTTAATACTTTAGGGCTAAATACCTAATAGATACATACTCTAGTAACTTTCGTTTTATTTCTTTATTTTACTTAGTAAGGTAGTTTATTTCCCTTTTAAATTCCATAGACTATCTAAGCTTATATAAGGTAAATAATAAGGTATCTCTAGGAAAAGAAGTTTCTTGTCTTATAATTAGAAGTCTTTAGGACTTCTAAAGTAATCTTCTAAAATTTAATCTTTTAAGAAGTACTTACTTATACTACCTAATACTTAGTACTCTTCTAGGTATTTATCTTATATTAGACTTAAATAGGTATTTTACTATTCCTTTTACTAGTCTATACTAATATAAATTATTCTCTTTTTATTTGTCTTAGAGTAAATATATCTAGAGGTAGTTATAATCTATTCTTAGTCAATAGAACGTACTTATTATCCTCCTCTTTTAGTACTAGCTATACTGTTTATATACTATAGATTATAATAGTAAACTTAAAGCTTAGAGATAGTAAGATAATACCTCTTTCTTTATATATAGTATAAAGTTTATACAAATTATAAAAGGTTCAAAAATAAAGACTTTTCTTTATTAATTTATAGTAAATAAATTAATTATTACTTTATTATTTTAATAAAAAAAAGTAGTATAGAGTGTAAGTTTACTATAAAAGTAAGAGCTTCTAATAAATAATTTACTTAATATATAACTTTAACATTTACGTTTATTTTCCTTTAACGATAATAGATATGTTTATATTTATATATATCTAAAATAGATATAAGGAAACTTAATTTTAGTAAATCTTACTTAAAAGCTAAAAGATTATTTATTAACTAGAAAATTATAACGTAATCCATCAGCGAGCCGGCCACACCACCGAACCCGCCACTTTTCCTTGGTATTGTAAACATCATCTTTCCTTTATAATATCTCAACAACAAGACATGTTATTAGATAATCAAGAAGGCAGAATCGAGCTTGCTATTAATGCCTACAGATCTGGTCAATTTCGGAGCCAACGGAGCGCAGCTGCAGCTTTTGGTGTTCAACATCAGAAACTCTCTACAAGACTGAATGGAACTAGCTCTCGCGCCACTATGGTTCCAAACTGTCGAAATCTCACGCCAACAGAAGAAGAGACGCTTAAGCGACATA